CTAGCACCCACTTGTAAATCTCTAGGGATAATAATAGCTAACATTTATATTATATAGTTTTTACTGCATGCCAGGCACTGTGCTAAGCATTTTACAATGATTACCTTACTAGATCCTCACAACAACCCTAGGAAGTAGGTGCTATTATTATCCCCATTTTAAAGATGAGGAAACTGAGGTAAACAGAGTTTAAATGATCTGCCCAGAGTTATACAGTCAATAAGTGTGTGAGCATAGATTTAAAGTCAGGTCTTCCTGATTTCAGATTTGGTCATGCATCCACTGTGCCACCTAATTGCATTGTTACAGCAAGATGCCCATAATAATGAAATCCCTGTCCCAGTTGCTACCATAACAAAGGAAGTCACCCTCCACAATGTATAGGGATTGTTGGCTGCCTCTATTAACTTTAAGTCACTGTCCAGGTGTTTGTGATCCTTATGTTTCCATATAAACTCTAACATAGCTAATGTGTCTAAGTCAGACAGATTGACAACTGAACAGCAGCTGTATGGAACTGAAATCTCTCTCTCTATGAATGAAAGCATGAGGATGGAAGGAAAATGAACAGAAATCTGTGGTTTATCATTCACTGAGCTCTGTAGAAGTGCCTCAGTAGGGCCTGCAGTCAATCTCAGGATCAGGGAACCAAAAGGGCTCTCATCATAGGACATAATGACAATCTTCTCTTTACAGTGCATAGTTCTCTGATTCCTAAAACTGCCAATCCTGTCTGATTATATCTGAGGATCTGAAGAGTGTAACTCAAGGAAGCACCTGACAGAATGTGCCCAACTATTCTGAGACTTTTTGTCAGTGCCATCTTGGGTGTACAGAGCTTTAGCTCAGGCTGCCACTACTGGGAGGTGTATGTGAGAAAGCAACACCAGTAGATATAGGACATCTGTAAAGAATCTTTCAACAGCAGGGGTCAGCACTCACTACCAAGATGGAGACATTTTCCTGCTCTGTGTTTTTCATTTGGCAAATTGTATTCTGACCTGCTTCCCATATATGTGACATCAACAGAGGAGAATGTGCATGCATTCAGAGGGGGTGTTTGGGGATGATTCTAGAATGATCTTATTTTTAACATTCTCAAAGGTGATACCATATGTGTTTATCTACTTTATATAACTTCTCTGAGCCTCTTGGGCCTATCTTTTCACCTGGCCACCAAATGCCAAGGACAAATGTAATCCCCATGGCTATTCATCTTGTGAGCCCTACTCTCTGAGGGAAATGCTGCCCTTAGGCCTTCTTCATAGATCAACACAGGACTCATTAGGTCCAGATGGTGGTTGATTCCCAAGGTTCTATCCTAGACCTTCTTTTCTATAGTTCCTCTCTCGGTATCCTCATCAATTCCCATGGATTTAAGTATCATCTCTCTGCAATTGATGCCCAGATCTATACATCCATCCCTACTATCTCCTCCTAAGCTTAATTCTTAGATTACCAAGTTTCTGTTAGGGAATCCAAACTTGGTATCTCAGAGATATGACACCACCATCTTTTTAGTGACTCAGGTTCATGATCTCAGCATTATCTTTGACTTCTCACTCTCCTTCATCAATACACATCCAATAACTTGTCAAATCATGCTATTCCTATCTTCACAACATCTCTCAGGTTTGACCCTTTCTTTCTACTCAAGTAGCTACCACCACCTCGATTATTGTGACAATCCTCTATATCGGTCTTTCTGCCTCAAGTCTTTTACCACTCCAATCCATTCTATAGACTTTCCAGCCTGATTGGGTATTACTCCCCTTTCTGCACTCTCTAGTCATGCCAAACTAGCCTTCCTTCCCTCATTGAGATCAAACTCCATCTCCCATCTCTATACCTCTGCACTATTCTTCCTTCATTCTTGAAATGGACTTCTTTCCCAATATCTCATGAAGCTGCCCCCACCTGCCATTTTTTTTTTTTTTAAAGATGCAGCCCAGGCAATATTTTCTACAGGGAAGGTATTTCTGATTTTTCCCCCTCTGCACATCCCCATCTGCAATGGCTCTCCCAAATGATTTTATATTTAACTACTTAAAATTTACCTACTATATATTTCTATTTATTCTTTATGTGTTTTCATATCTACTTCCTTTCCCCCAAGAGAAGGTAAGCTTATTGTGAGGAGGGATTATTTCATTCATTATACTTGAATTCCCTGTGCCTAGACCAGGGCCTGGCACATAATAGGCATTTAATAAATATTAGTTGATTGATTGATTGATGTGGGAGAGAGTAAAGATCCAGAGTTAAGAAAGTTCAGAACAACTCAAAGCTTATAACTTTAATAGCTTTTTTTATACAATGCAACATCAAAGATAGTAATTCCCAAATGCCTCTTGTTCAGTGGTCCTTTAATGGATAAAATTAAGCTTTCTATGTTAAATATTTTAAATTTAATTAAATAAATCAATTCATGTCACTTTTATTGAGCATGTATCATGTGGAATGTAGCCTGTATTAGAGACTAAAATGGTACATATAAAAGCATACAATCCATAGTCCATACCCTCATGTAATACATTCTAATATGGTAGCTAGGATAAGATGTAGCCAAGTGATCATAATATGAAGTACATTAGAGAGCTACAGTGTAACTTTTGATTTTTTTTATTAATTGTCTCCAGAATAAACTCCAAATTTCTTCCTTTGGCATTCAGGGCCCTATATAAACTGGCTCAAATTTTTCAAGATTTGTCTCCTCTTTCTCCTCAGACAAGGAAGCTTTTTGCTGATCAGACTGGTCTGGAAGAGTAGTGTGACACTCAAATAGAAATGGGGGGGCACTATACCTTACATAAGAATCTCTGCCACTGCATATTGACTTAGAAAACCACGTATTAACATTATCTAGGTTATATGAATTTATATTTATTTTGTTAAATATTTCCCAATTACATTTTAATCTGGTTCAGCAGGCACTCAGGAGTGGGTCATGTGTTTGACCCCTTTGTTCAGAAATATAGTTTTACCTCTTGTGAGGTCCTCCATCTGGAATGCTTTCTCCTATTTCCAATTTTATACATCCTTCAAAGCCCAAGTCAAATCTCCCTCTTCTGTAAAACCTTTCAGAGTACCTTTCAGGCCACAATATTCTTTCCATACTCTGAAATTCTTTAATGATTATCATTTCTACCACTCTTTTGGTCATTAATAGACACTACCTTTTAGTATTAGTTATCATCTAATGTTCTTAGACTCTACCTTTTATTATTAACATTTAACGTTCGTGTGTTCTGTTTTTCCATCTATGTGAATTTTTAACTACCTAAAGACTGAGTTAACATCTTGTACCTCTTTGTATACATTAATTAACACTTAGCACAATGGCATGCTAGTAGATGCTCAATAAATTAATTTTTTAAAGTTTATTTGAAAATTTGTAAGTGTGATGATATAAGAGCATGAATTTTAAAGTCTTAGTTCACAAAGAGATACAATACATTTGAATTCAAAATGGAAATTCTATTACTTCAGCTATCATCTGAATTTTTTTATCTCTGTTTTTTCTACATCTTCCCATCTCAATGACTATTTACTGTGTTCATGGTTCATTAGAGGATTGTGACATCAGAAAGAAATCATCCAATCATTGTCTTCTTTTTTCTTTAAAGGCTCCTTTCTCTCTTTCCTCACTTTTTTGTGTGTGCCAATTTCTCTCTCTCTCTCTCTCTCTCACTCTCTCTTTCTCTCTGTTCTCTCTCTCTCTCATAACTGTAAGTATGACTATATAGGTTCTATGATCCGTAGACTTAAACTTGGAAGGGACCTTAGAGTTCATCTAGTCCAACTTTTTCACTTTACAGATAAGTAAACTGAGGTCTAGAAAGATGAAGTAACTTGTTCAAGGTTGTCCAGGTAGAGCTGAGATTGAATCCCAGATCCTTTGACTCTAAAGCTAGAATATTTTTTTTTTCCCACTGAAACACATTCTGGTTCAATTCTTTAAAATACTAATGATGTTATATTTTATTTTCTAATTTGAAACACATATTTTCTTACATTCTTTGGGATATGGTGTTATGATATGGAGCTCTGGTAAAGTACAACTGGAATCTCTCTCTCTCTTTTTTTTCTTTTAGAAATTATCAGGTAAAAAGAATGTTAAAAAGCTTCCATCTTCATCCAGTAACTCAACATTACTATTTGGGATGATCAGATCAGCAAATTGCCCCAATAGTCAATTTTTTATTTTTCTAGAAATGCCACCTTGTGACATCATTAATGGACTAACTACCTTATCCAGTGAGTATTCAGGTGACAACAGTCATCTGGAGGACAACACCTTTAAAGACAACATGAAACCTGGACACACTATATATGACACTACAGCTGGTGAGGCTGTATATTTAACCTGCATCCTACATTTTATCTCTTGTAACATCATTATTTCTCTTCTATGTCAACAAGAGTTTTTAAAGATAGATCTTTTCTAAAATATTATATTATCTCTATACTACATTTTGAGGGCACACAAAATTTTCCCATGAACCGAGAGAAGATAAGTCAGACTGTATTGAAGAGTTCTCTCTTCTAGCCTCTGTGAGGAACAAAGCTGGTAGGTTATGTCAACTTAATTTGAACTCTGGGGTGGGTGGAATGGGGACTAAGGATGAGAGTTGTAGAATCTAATAATAGTGTACCGGTGGGGGGCTTACTTAGAAAAGTAAGTGTGCTTGAAAAGCTTTATTGTTAAGTAAATTTCCGAATGGTAAAAGTTTCCAAACAGCAGGGAGCTAATGGGGACAAATAGGTCTTTGAAGAGAATAAGGGTTGTTTTGCATAAATTAATAGGGTTGAATTTTTGTTTTTAATAAGCAGAGCTTTGCAGGGTAAATGAGGTCCCTGTTGTGATATACATAATTAGAAAGTACTTATGAAAACAACTTTCCCTTACCAATGGAATTGTAAATGTTTACAGTACTTGTGTTAGAAAAGGCCAAAGACTGACTGCCAGAAAACTGGAAACAGAGCTGATCTTTTTAACCATGGATTGTGAAGGTACAGATTGCAGAAACTTTTTAATGAGACATCGGCATTTCACACTCTTAAGGTAATAATCTGGGATAACTTGCAAAGGTTCATTTGGGAAACTGGAAAACTGAAGGCAATCTTAAATCCATTTCTTTTAAGTGGCCAGCTGTCAATTATTCACTACATTGTGTATGGAAAAGGGGAGAAACAAAAACTTTACATCATAATGGAAAGAATTGTGATACTTATTTTGGCTCCTCAGAAGTCTTTACCTACTTTCCAGTTCTAGTCTAAGTTCCTAAGAAGTAAGGATCCTAGGTATCTGAGTTTTGGATAAGTGAAATATTAGCATAATAAACTGATTTCTTTAAAGATGCTGTCAACTATTCATATCCCATATTAATTTAACTATGGGAAGTTCACCAAGTCTGCTTTCCTGTAACACCTGACATTACAGGTGCTGTTGAAGTAATGTTGTGCTTGGTTAATTTGATCAATAGGACTCTAAAAGTTTGAGAATTTAGTGTTTAAGACCTAAGCCTTTCTTAACATACATATTAAAAGGGGACAGCTAGGTGGTGCAGTGGATAGAGCACTGGCCCCGGAGTCAGGAGGGCCTGAGTTCAAACCCGACCTCAGACACATGAGACTTACTAGCTGTGTGACCCTGCGCAAGTCACTTAACGTCATTGCCTAGCCAAAAAAAAAATACATATTGAAAAAAGTACATATATACATAATTAAACTTAGTCTCAAAACCTTTTTATTATTTTTGTGTGTATCAAAGTGATTTAGACATGTTATTTCATCCACATAGGGAATTTCTAATGTGAAATTTTATTCACCAATGCAGATGAGCAACTCATCAGCAACTTTACAATTTTAGAGAGTTGGCAAGTTGTCTGGAGAACTAAGAGGTTAAATGACTTTCCTATGGTCGCACCAATAATATGTATCAGAAATAGGACTTGAAACAAATCTTCCTGATTCTGACACCAGCCCAGTGCCCACTACAACACAGTAACTTTTTAAGAAAAAAAAATGGTGGCTTTTCTTCCAAAATGATTCTAGGTTATTATCTTGTCTTTTAGACTATAATTTATGAAGCAGCCGAGAAATTTTAATTTGAAGATTCATTACGAAACTTCTATATAAACATGTTGCCACAAGACTATTCTAGTGCAAAGCTGAGCTAAAAAAATAGTTCAAGTTACAGCCGAATTATGAATATGATTTCTTCCCAACTGTCAATCTCTATTCGTTTTTTTAAATTTATTTTTTGTTACATTTTAAATTCCAAACTGTCTTCCCCCCTCCTTCCCTACCCCACACTAGGGAAGGTCACAATTTCACTCACACACATATACACACATATGTGTGTACATGTATAGGCATATATAAACCATACCATGCATACTTCCATTTCTCAGTTCTGTCTCTGAAAGCGGATAACATCTTCCCTTTAGGTAGTTGTATTTATAATTTGAGTGTTTATAATACTCAAAATAATCTAGTTGTTCACAACTGTTCTTTGAACAATATTGTTGTTACTGGTATTCTCTTGGTTCTGTTCATTTCACTCTTCCTTATTTCATGCAAGTTCTTGCATGTTTCTCTAAGATCACTGAACTCATCAATTCCTATAGCACAGTATTATTTCATCACAATCATATACCACAACTTATTTAGCCATTCCCCTCTATTCATTTTTAAAGAAATATTAGTCACTGAATTACACATTATCAATCAGTATTTGTTTGCTAATATATTCATTTAATACACTACTATTTCCAAAATCATTTAGCAATTCAGGTTCCATCAAGCAACAAGCTAATGATACACGAAAACAAAATGTTCAAGTGAATGACAAGGGGGAAAAGTCAATCTAATGTGAATCCTTAAAGTTTATGTTACAATGTTTATTCTAAGTCTATATATTTTTTTGCTTATTAGTTTCTTCCTTATTTTTAAAGTTCTTTTTTATTCTCCATCTCATTTATAGTCAGTTTTTAAAAATAATAAATCAAATTGTATTTGATTTATGTACTATAGAGGGTAGTATACAAGTATTTGCATCTTTAGGAAAGGACATTTATTTAGTCATGCCTTGTTTCTCAGTTTTGATGCTCAAACAAACTGAATATGAGAATTTTAACAGACATTCCTCCTGTCTAATAATTCCTAAGGTCTTTTCCATTTCTAAGATTCTATGACCATGACTCAGTCTAAGGCACTATTTACAGAGGCATAATGTCCAGGATAAGAGAGGTAATAATATAATACTGTGCTTTGGCCTGGTCAGATGATGTTTGGAATATTATGTTTAGTTCTAATTGCCACATTTTTAGATGGTCACTGATAAGCTAGAGAACATGTTAAAAAGAATGACCAGAATAGTGAAAAGTTTTGAGGTTATGTCATATATAAGAAGATTGAGCAATTTGGGAATATTTAGCCTGGAGAAAAAGTGACTAAGGAGGGGGCTAGGAGGATTAAATTTATTTCATTTGTCCATATTGGGGAATTCTTCAATGTAGAGGTCCTAAGATCCTCCTGGAGAGTAATTCTTCCCACCTTGGTCTGCTTGACTGGAGGTTAATAAAGCCTCCACTTTCTCTCATCTCACTCCCTTGCTAACCCTTTACAATCTAGCTTCAAACCTTATCATTTTACCACAACTGCTATCTACAAAGTCACCAATGATCTATTTGCCAAATCCAATGGCCTTTTCTCAATGCTCTTTCTTCTTTTTGTAGCCTTTGACACTGTTGATCACTCTTTCCTTCTTGATACTCTCTTCTCTCAAGGTTTCTAGGGCACCACTCTTTCTCAGTTCTCCTAAGAGACCATTTCCTTCTCAGTTTCCTTTGCTGGACTCTTAACCAGATTGTACCCTCTCACCACAGGTGTCTCACAGGATTATGTCCTGGGCCTTTTTCTCCATATCTACTACTTCACTTGGTGGTCTTATCAGTTCTGATGGATTTAGTTACTGTATCTATGCTGATGATTCTCAAATCTTCGAATCCTGCCCTAATGTCTCTGCCACTTCCAGTTGTACCTAAAACAACCTTTCAGACATTTTGAACTGGATTGTTGAGTTACGATGTCTACAGAGGATCTAGTTCAAAATTATTTCTCATTTATGCTGTCTATAGCTTGTTTGTATATATTTGTTTATTGGTTGTGTCTCTCATTAGATTGTGAGCTCCTTGAGGGCAGAGACTATCTTTTGCCTCTTTGTATTCCCAGTATCTGGTACACAGTATTAATAAATATTTATTGAATGACTAACAGCTGATATAATTGCCAGGTGGCTAGCAACTTCAAGAAACAAAGGGAAATACACACATGCATAATTTTTATACAGCGTTAGGGCAACATGATTGGCTGCAAAAAAGTAGTCTTATCAGGTTAGGCTGCTCAGCCATGGTCCTTATTTGGGAGGCTGAGTAATAAGAATAGATGCCAGGTAATTTTGTGGAGTGTGTATTAATCTTGGGATCTCCAGATCTCCAAAGATCTGGTTTGCTTCAGTGGACATGTTTTCTCTATAAATTAACCCTATTTTCTATGGTTATTTCCATCAAAATATTAGTGGGGCAGTGGGATAGTGGATCTCCTTCCAGATAGAATCATTGGATTATTCTGTTGTTGAGGAAAATACAGACTGAGGGTTTGTCTCTAATTATACAACCTTGTAGCTCCTTTTCTTTGACCTCTAAAATTAATTTTTTTTTCTGGGGAGAGGATATTTCCCCTAAATCTCCTTCCACCACAAAGGACAAAAATAGGTATTATAAGGACTATCACATATGCAAAACACCCTCCTGGAGAAGGCTGAAACAAATATTTATTAAACACTTAAGTACCAGGCACCATTCTAAGTTCTAGGAAGACAAAACAAAGGAATAAAAAAGGCAAAAAAAAAAAAAAAGAGCTCAGATTCAAATGGATGAGACAACATATTAATGACTAGGTACATACAAGATATAAACAGAATATATTATTGTTCAGGTATGGGTTGGAATTCATGATCTCTGAGGTCTCTGGTAGCGCTGAAATGATGTGAAAGTGATTTTATACCTGAATACTCACCCTTTGTTGTTAAGTTTTTAGATTCTGAGAGAAGGCCTAGAAGTGGCCTGGAAGGCCATTATGGCTCCATTGAGTACCCTCTGCATTAGGTATAATCAATCAATAAACATCAAATAACTACTATGTGTCAGGCACTGTGCTAAACATTGGGGATACAAAGAGAATCAGAGCTCACAATCTGAGGGAGAAGACAACATGCAAACAAATATATATTAACAAGATATATGCAGGATAGATAGGAAATAATTAACAGAGGGAAGGAACTAAAATTTATAAGTCCTTATACTGATTTTTGCCTTTATTATACATTTAAAATACAATAAAGAGTTTGTTCTAGGTGTACAATTAGCTTTGGTGGTGGTGGATAGGAAATATAGACTACTAAATTTTGTTTTTGAAAATTTTTCATGAGGTTTGACACATTCTAACTAATTTAGAGGAAAATCTATAAATGCAAAATCTAAGATTGCGAATGTTTGGAAATATAAGATCGTTGGAGAAGCTTGTAAAATGTGACTGGAAAAGTTAATAGTACAAGGATCTTCTTGCCAAGGGCTCTTCCAGTGCATTCTCCAAGCCATCAAATGTCCAGAGATCATGCCCTGAAGGATGTAAATCACTCAGATTTGGAACTGCTGCCCTAGTCCTCACACTTTCCTGACTTTTGAGTGCCTGACTCAGAACTCACATTGATTCATAATATCTAGTTGGCCAAAGCCATCTTTCATATTCCACCCTAGTCATGTTCTTGCCATCCACTCTTCTGTTATGCATATCTTTATTTTCATCCCCTTTCCATCATTTTTCCTGGGAACAATAATCAAATAAATACTACTATCACTATTGGAAAGGGTGCCATTCACCTCTCTTGCAGTTCAATCATCTCTTTGACTTCCCACACCAAACATCTCTCCCTGGCAACTGCTTCCCTATATGTGTTGTCATTGTAAACTATGTCCTATGGGCCAGCCTGCCACCATACGTATGCGAAAATTTTATGCAATTCAAATTTCAGTTCCATAAATAAAGCTTTATTGGACCATAGCCTTACTCATTTGTTTTAAACTTCTTGAGGGTAGGAACTATCCTGCTTTTATATTTGTATCCCTGGTATTTAGCACATTATTAAGTATAGAGAAAACAACATTTTTTTTATTCAAAAAGTTGAGTATTTATGAATATCATAGGATTATAGGATCATGGGATTTAGATCTAGAAAATACCTTAGATATCATTCAAACCCAATCCCTTTATTTTGCAAATGACAGTAAATCCGGAAAGCAAAATTCTTTCCTGCTTCTGGGCATGAGTTTTTGGGGTTTAAGGTCACTTAAGGTGTGTAATTGTTGGGGTGGTGGTGGCAGGTGGTGGCAATGACACAGGAAGGCTTTACACATTATGTATGGTGATTTCACCAGTGTGAGCATAGAGGAGCTAAATGTCACCTTTAGTCACCTTGCTAATGGGTATCACAGGTCTTTGTGATTACAAAGTCAGCCCTTTTTACTTAAGGGGAGCTTATTAATAAATGTTTGTGGAATTGAATTGAAGAGCATTACCAGCAAATAAGTTTTACATGACCGTTCCTTGTGACTACCTATATTTCCACAGACTTATCATTTAACAAAGTGCTTCCAAAGTAACCTTTTCTATATCCTCAAACATCTTTCCTATAAAATTAATCAAATACTTAAATTAGTAGTAGCCAGTCCATAATGATGCATCCCAACCCCAAACCTGGTGCTGGAAATGGGGATGGTGGATGGATATTAGAAGCTGACATTTACACAGAGATTTTTATTATTTACAAATCATTCACAAATATTTGATCACTATGAACGGTTCTATGAGGTGGATATTGCAACAATTACTTTCATTTTACAAATATGGAAACTGAGTCACCAAGAGATTAATAGATCTAGAAATGAAACAGATTAGTGGTTTAATGGTCCAAACCCGACATTTCTACTTGTCCATAGAATGGTAAGATATAGTGATAGTAAGTGGGAGAGCAAAGTTCAGGTCCTGAGACTGCAAATTCCGCACTTTTTCCTCTTCATGATTTGACCTGGATTCCTGGTAGTAAGTAAGTAGCACTGCCCAAATGAGATCCCAGGGTTTTTTGGGTTTTTTTGTTTGTTTGTTTGTTTGTTTTTGTCTGTTTTTAAACTCTAGCTCATCCTTCAGCATCCCCCACTACCAAGTAATAACAAGGGGACAAAAAAGTCCATCAGTCCTGTGGCCGATTGATCCAGGGGCCAGCCAGGACGAGTGATAGGTGCCAAGCAGGGCGGGACCAGAGCCTATCCTGAAGCCGCCCATTCTTCCTCAGCCCAGCCACTCTCGTTGGCGACTCTGGTTAGACTACGCTTAGGGGTTCACGGTGGGGTCAACCGAGCGGAATGCTCTCTGCATATCCGAAAAATGTGTGCTCTTTTTCCCAGTTCTGGCTTTCCTTTCTCCCATTGGCTCGGCCTCGTGGCCTTTGGCGAATGTCTAGAATTTTGTTTATTCGACTACCTTCAAGTGTGTGTGAGGGGTGGTGTGACGGGTTGTTGGGGAGCGGGGAAGCACAGGCCAGGAAGGTTTGCAGATCTCTTAAGCTCCCTTCAGGTCACGTTAAGTGCATCGCGGTTCCTGGGACAGCATCTGAACTAATGAACTGCCTGTCTGCTTTCTTTCACAGCCAGGATAGCCACAGAGCCCCGTGGAGCGAAGAGCGCAGCCCAGTTAGAGTCATGGCTAAAACCAAGGTCAGGCTGTACACCTGCGTGTGTTTGACTGCCCTGCTGATGTTTTTCCTGTCGGGATTTATGTTGGGTAAGTACGGAACCCTTCCCGCTCCCAGTCTCCCCATACCACTCTGCAAGCTCCACCTTGAAAGGCTGCTTCTCTTGGTGGGCCCTGGAAGACTCTCTTGTTGGTGGCTGCAAGCAGGGCTGAGGGACATTTTACATGGAGCAAGTTCTGAACCCATAGAATCCTCTTCCTCATATTCTACTTCCCTCCCGTCCCCCAACCCCACAAGGCTGAAGAGATGGTACTAAGTATGGGAAGGATCTGAACTAGAGGGACTTCTAACACAGAGATTTTTTTCTATTTTCCTTTTCATGCTCTCTAGGGTAGGAGGTCCAAGTGGGAGAGAGATAATTTCTTTTCTAGACAGCTCGAATCTTTTCCGTGCTTTTCAGAAAACACAGAATAATTAGGGTTAATTGTTAATTTAATGTTAAGTTCATTGTAAATTAGTCGTTAAGTCAAATCTAATTTTACATTCTCATAGGTTAATTCTTATAGATTCTCTGGAGTATGCAAGTTCCCTTCATGGAAGTAGTGAACTTCGGTGCTAATCAATAAAGTGTCAGTTGCTGGAGATGGGATAGTGGGGAGTGGGAGGGAAGGAAGGATTTGAAATCTGAATTCTAGCCCAAGTAGCATTTGGAAAGTCACTAGTACAGAAGATAGCAACAACATTAAATTAGAGTAACAGTGAAGTATAATGGCTAAAGAGCCAATCCAGAAATTCTTGGGTTCAAGTCTTGCCTTGACTTATACCTTTAGTATGACTCTTAGCCAGAAACTGTTTTAAGACTGTGTTACTGAGAAAGTGCATCCCTGAATTGGTAGAGGGAGTTTCCTAATCAGAAAGTTCCCTATACTAGCTTAATTACAGGTCCAACTTCTATCTCTAACAACACTACATATTTTAGACTTAATGGATCTACTTTTACTCAACTCAGCACGGATTTGTTGCCTGTATTGCATGCATGTTAGTATTTTTCTAGGAATCTAAACTGTTACCACCCTACCACAGTCCTGAGGGATTTCATTTGCCATCACATGTCACTCTTAACTGGTATGAAAAAGAATTTCCCAGGCTTAAGAATGCTACATCACCAGCAGTAAAACAGAAACGCAAAAGTGCTGTTCAACTAAAATAGCAACCCTCAAGTTTTTGGGATATAAAACTGTTTAGAAATGGAATGAAATATTTGACATGACTACCAAATTTGCATGTATTTAGTAGGAAAAGGCTCCTTTTCATGGAGCAGGTCAGTTCTCCAGTTTATCTCTAGGTTAACATTTATCTCTGGGATAAATTTAAGCTGGTAGTTTTTTGAGGGAGTAACAAGTTGTTGTGGCAATGTTTTTCAGGCTGGTTTATTAAACCTGTCAAAGAAGTAGGCACTCCAGTGCCTTTTTACCAAAATGAAAGGTGGAAACTGGTATCTGAAATGAAGGCAGAAAACATTAGACTGTTTCTCCGGTAAGCCTGTTTTTTCTGTTTTCTATTTTATACCTTTAAAAAATTTTTAAAATGCATCAAAAACAGGCCAAAGCAATATTGGAAGCCTACTAACGTTTCTACTTTGGCAAAGTAGATAGGGCACTAGAGTTGGAGTTAGATAACCTGGCTTCAGTTCCTGGCTCTGCCTTTTACTAGCTGTGTGACCAGTGTCTGTCTTCCAGAGGTAAGGCCCAACAAACAGGCTGTGACCTGAGCTTGGCATAACAACAGTCCTTTGAGCTCACCCTCGGGATGATCTCAGCCACAGCAAAATCCCAGAATTGTTTCATGTAATTATTGTATTACTTTGATGTACTTTCATGTAATTATTGTATTACGAGAACACTTTTAGGTGTTCTCGTGTTCGGGTCATGAAACCCTGCTTTGAATCAAACTTGTCACATTTTTTCTGTTACCCCTCATTGTCAGGGCTACAGCTCACTGTACAGCCATTGGTATAAGTATTGAGATCTCTCCACACTGCCTTGGGTGCCTCCACTAGGGGTGGGGCCCCAGCACATGTGTCTGCATCCCCTTCTTGCTTGCAAGCTGTTTCTCTCACTTTGACATTAAACTTAACGTTTGATTCCTGACTCTCCTGTCTCTAGCCTGCTCAGTTCAGCTCTGGCCACCCAGAGGTCGGAGGCTAGTTCTATCTGGTTGACACCGTGGGCAAACTATGTGACTGAGCATGGGCAAGCTATGAGACTATTTTAGGGCTCAGTTTTCTCATCCATAAAATGGAATACTTGGGGTATTTACCTAATGGAGCATAAATTTATAACTGGAAGGGACCTTAGAATTCATCTAGTTCCATCCCCTCACTTTGTAGATAAGGATACTGATGTTAAATGATTATCCAAGGTCACATGGGTGACAGAAGGCAGGTCCTTAGATTCCAGAGCCAGTAGTCTTCTCACTGCACTGTAATGTCTTATTGTGACTCCCAAGGTTGTAGGGATGAAATGAGATGTATGTAAAATACTTTGCAGACTTTAAAACATCATATAAATATCAGTTATTAATAGTTATAGCATGTTTGAGAACTTTTCTTTCTTAAATAATATTAAAATGATTTACTTACCAGGTTGCAGAAGCCAAAGGCTTTGCAACTATAGTAAATGGTTAATCTGTTTGCATACTGCAAGAGTTTTTCTAATTCCTCCCTTCCCCCTAATCTTACAGTGGAAACATGTACCTTGCTGTTTTAAGGCAAAGTCTTACCTAATAACAGCTACAAACATATTAACTTTGTTCTCTTAACTGGAGGTCTGAGATATCTACTCTTTTAACTTTCCCTCTTTTAGTTGAATAAAATATTTTATTAAGTCTTTTATCATTAAGAACCAGTAAAATGCATATGGTTGATAAAGCCATTAGAAAATAAGTCAGAGAGATATAGTTTGATTGTATTTACTTCAGGCAACAAACAGAATCCTTAACTTATCTTGTAGATAAGAGTGTTACTCACAGGGTGGGAGCATAGATAGATCTGTGCAAGCCCATGATTATTATAGGGTGGTGATGGAGGGCATCCAGATTTGAATATGGGTCAATTGTATGCCCATTGTTTTCTGTTATTATGAAAAAATAAATATAGATATTTTAACCAAAAATATGATCAATAGTTATTTCTATTACTCATTTTAAGGAGAATACTTTTCCTCTCATGACTTTTTTTTTTTTTGGTTAAAATTTTTGTAACCCTTTAAGGATAGTATAGATGAAAGTTGGTTCTTTGTGACTAATTTCATGTGATCTAATATAATGGGGCTGGATAGTGATTAGATTTGCTAAATCTAATCACTTATAAATTGGAACTTTCAATGAATTTTGAGTTATGAAGAAACATTCTTACCTGGGTCTTATGTGTGGCATTGCAAATGAACGTGCAAATGAGCAAGCTACTTGGCTATTTCATATAATAGGCATACATATGTATATATATATATATATATATATATATTTATACACAAAACATTTCTGTAATCTTACCACTAACTTACTAATCTTTGGGGATATGAGATAGCCATAGCAAACTGCTTGTGGGCAATTTGATTTACTTTACTTAATGATTTTTAATCTTGAGTACATGGCATCTAGCACAGTACTTTGTATGAGGGAGACAATAAATGGTTGAATTGAATTGATCTTAACTTTCTTTAATAAATCACACCTCTTAACTCCAAAGTATTCTGAGCAAACAACTGTTATGATATTTTTCATCTTGATTACATACTAAATAAACATTTATGTACTGCCTGTTGCTAATATTAGAATGCCTAAAGGACAATTCAGAGAATATTTGAGAGCTATAACCTGTAGATTTGGAAGGAATCACTGCACAAATATGGCATCTCTCTATCTTTAGAATTATTTGTATTTAGTTTGCTGTAAATATGCTAAATGCTTTCTGCAGAATTTTAATAACTCAAGATGACTTGAGACAGCATAGATTGTGGAATTCAGCTGGTTCCTCAGCACTGTGTAGCAATCCTTTTCATTATCTCTGATAGGCATGTTTTTGTATTATCCACTGTGGCTTTTCCAGACCTCCTGTTTGCTTAAGCATTTATCTTCCACCTCAATCCCACCCCACTTCTTTTACTTAGCAGATTGAGGCCATCTGTCTTAAATTCTCTTGTCTTCCCCCTTCCTTCCTCCTTCCTCCTTCCACACCTTGAAATTTATTTGTCTTTGCACTCAGTTGCCCAGGATCTCAGACAATAGGTCATTTGACTTCCTTGTTGCCTTTCCATTCTCCTAACTACATGCTTTGCTTCATATATTAGCACTACATATTTTGCTACATAGAAGTCTCTGCTTCTATCCTCAAGCTGCAGATTGCTTCTGGAAGAAGTCACCAAACAAATCTGTCTTGTCAGCACCACTACAACATTATGTGATTTAACCCTAACTGGGTTCCTATTGTTGCATAGCATATGCCAATCCTTTTTATTTTTAAAAATGTATCTTATTGGGTACCTTTTGTCTTTAAATAAAAGTCATTTCTACCATCTCTTGGGACAAAAACAATTGGACAAAAACATCTACATCACATGTATGTGTATACAATATTCTGTCTTAATTGTGTCCCTGTTACCCTATCTCCCTTCAGCATTGAGGTTATTTATCTATTTTGTAAGACCATTGATTTTTTGATTACTTAGAGTTCAACTTCCTTTAAGGAATCTTTTTTATTTACATTGTTGTAGTCACTATGTATATATTATTCTCTTGGTCATATTTATTTTTCTTTGCATCATTTCCCACAGTTTTCCAATAGTTTTTCCCATGTTCCTCAGAATTCCTCATATTTGGCATTTATTATTCTACAATAATATTCCATTCCATTTGTATTACATAATTTTTTTCAGTCATTCTCTAATTGACATCTCCTTTTTTCAGTTCTTTGATACCACAAAGGGTGCTGCTCTGCGTGATTTGTTATATTTATATTTTTCTGTTTCTGTCTTTGATTTTCTTACATTATATGCCTAACACTGGGCTTGCTGAATCAAATGACATGGAACATTTATTCACTTTTCTTGCATAATTCCAAATTGTCATACAGAGTGGTTGGACCAATTCACAGCTTCTTTATCTGTATGGGATTAAGGTGCCTGTGTTCCCATATCCTCTCTAACACTGACCATTCCTTTTTTGGTCATGTTTGTTAATTTACATGGTGCAAGGTGAAAACTCAGAAGTATTTATGCTTCTTTTACTATTAGTGATTTGGAACATGTTTTCATATGGTCATTTTTTCAGTGTCCTTTGTACCTGTTGTCTCCTTCCTTGAAGAGCATAGATAGGTAAAACATTTTATTAAGCACTTACTTTGTCCCAGGCACCATGCTAAGTGCTGGGGATACAAATGTAAGTAAACAATAGAGTCCCTAGCTTCAAAGAGCTTACATTCTAACTGGGAGAAAAAAAAAATGAATATGAACAGGAAAGGGGCAGGGATTGTACTGGCTACTGTTGAGGAGGTACAGAATGACTTGAGCTGGGAACAGAGTGAATATGAATGGAGCTCATTCTGAAATAGTTGTCTGGGCCAGAGATTCACCAGTTAAGAAGGCAGGACCCAGGGCAGAGGCATCTTGAAGGGAGGCAGGGCTACTAGGTGGAGTTCAGAGAGTGAGTTGAGCTAGAATATAAGTTCTTTGACTATAGAGATTGTTTGATTGGTTGTATTTGTATCTCTAGCACCTAGCACAGTGCCTGGCAAAAAGTAAATACTCAATAAATGCTTGTAGATTGACTGTTTATCTCTTGAGGAATGGCTCATGATATATATACATTTGTATCATGTCAAGACCTTATATATTCTGAGTTATCAGATTTTTATCAGTTCTATTTGATGAAAATATTTTCCTACTCTATATCTTCTCTTCTAATTCTGCCTTTGGTGACTTCATTTGTGCAAAAGTTTTTAAATTTTATGTAAAGTTGTCTTTTTTCATCATTGTGTGATTCCATATCATGCTTTCTGCAGCAGCCATTCCATGCCTTCTCCTCTCTCCTCAAAGCCCTAACTTTACCCCACTACCCCACTTTAAACAGATAACTCCCATTCTTAATTTACTGAGAATACTGATACCATCTGTTGTAAGTTCATCTTTCATTCTCGATGATGACTCAAAATCTATGTGTTCTTGAATTTTTTTAGTCTCAGAGTGTGGAATACCACTCCTATTGGTTATGACTAAGGCCTCTGCCTAGTCCTCCATTACACTCATTTCTGTCTTTTATGGGATCTTGTCACACTCTCATTCAATTTTTCTATTTCCCCTTCCTGGATGTTTATAAGCGTGCTTGATTCTTATAACAATAAAAAAAAAAAAGAAATTCTTTCCCTTGACTTACTACTATTCCCTCAAATCATTATCCTTTGTCTCTCCACTTCATTACTAAATTTTAGAGTAGTCTATACTTGATATTTCCACTTACTCGCCTTTACTCAGTCCCTTGGA